ATTCCAGAAAATCCACAAACACATGGAAATTAAACAATGCTCACCTGAATCATCAATGGGTCAAGGAAGAAATAAAGGGAGAAATTAAAGACTTCCTAAAAATCAATGAAAATGACCACACAACATACCCAAATTTATGAGACACAATGAAAGCAGTGTTAAGAGAAAAGTCCATAGCACTAAATGCTTACATAAGGAAGCTGGAAAAACCCCACACTAGTGAATTAACAGAACATTTGAAAATTTTAGAACAAAAAGAAGCAAATTTACCTAAGAAAACTAGATGGCAGGAAATAATCTAAGTGAGAGCTGAAATCAACAAAATAGAAACAAAGAAAACAATACAAAGAACCAATGAGACAAAGAGTTGGTTCTTTGAGAAAATCAACAAAATAGACAAACCTTTATCCAAACTAACCAAAAGGCAGAGAGAGAATATCCAAACTAATAAAATCAGAAATGAAAAGGGGACATAACAACAGACATGGAGGAAACACAGAGAACCATCAGGTCATATTTTGAAACCCTGTACTTCACAATATTGGAAAATGTAAAGGAAATGGACAACTTTCTAGATAAATATCACTTACCAAAATCAGTGGGCTTTCTTTTTTTTTTAAAAAAAAATATATATTTATTTATTATGTATACAATATTCTGTCTGTATGCCTGCAGGCCAGAAGAGGGCACCAGATCTCATTATAGATGGCTGTGAGCCACCATGTGGTTGCTGGGAATTGAACTCAGGACCTTTGGAAGAGCAGGCAATGCTCTTAACCACTGAGCCATCTCTCCAGCCCCCAGTCTGCTTTCTTAATAGAACCCAGGACTACCCACAATGGGCTGGGCCCTGTCCCACAATCACTAATATCAAGAAATACCTTATAGGCCTGACTGCAGCCTGTTCTCATGGAGGCATTTTAACATTTTAATTAAGGTTCCCTCCTCTCACATGACCCCAGCTGTGCCAAGTCGACATAAAACAGTCCAGCTCACTGACGAATAGTATTTACCTGGCGTGTCCCAAGAAATGATGTTCTCCAGAGTCAGAAACGGTTGGCAGTAGAAGTGGGGACAGTGAGGTTTACTATAAGGAAATAGTTCACATGATCATAGAGACTAAGAAGCCCAACGTCTGCAGTCAGCAAACTGCATGGTAGGATTCCATTCCAAACAAGGGCAATAAAACTGAGCTGTGATTTCAGTCAGTTTGGGAACGGAGGGCCAGTGCCCCAGGTCAAAGAATCAAGTGGAGAGGAGAAAGAACCTAGTCTGTTCAGGGCTTTACTGGGTTACAGGAGGCCCACAAACACATTGTCCAGACACAAACTCAAGTATCTTGGATCTCATAGTCCAGTCGATACACAAAATTAACTGTCAGAGGGAATGGGATTGGGAAATCCCATGCAACCATACTTCGGCTTTAGTTCTGTATGGACTAGAAAATTAGCTGTCTCCATTGTCGTGGTTTGAATGAGAATAACCTCACCGGCTCCTAAGGTTGACTATTTGTCTCCAGTCGGCGATGCTCTTTGCAAAGGATGCAAGCAAAGCTTGCCTGAAAATGTGCTCTGGGAACAGTCTTTGCCGTTTTAAAAGACTCCTGGCATTCACAGTGTGCCTTTCTTGGCCTCCTGCTTTGGATCAAGATGTGATCTCTCAGCTGTTGATGATACCACACCTTTGCTCTACCATCACGAACTCTTATCCACCTGAAACTGTAAATGAAATTAAAGGCTTTCTTTTCTAAGTTTTCTTGGCCGTGGTGTTTTGTCACAGAGTAACAACATATCTAGCTGTCAGGTCTTCCCAACAGAAGTCTTGCTCTATTAATAAACTGGATATACCTTTTCCTACCTCGGATAGTTCTGAGTAAACAGGAAAATGTTTGCTTCACAGACACTGCTAAAGAAAGGAGTCATGAGATAAGCAGGTGTAGCAGAATGTATGGCATAAGCAGTGGGCAGGAGCTGGATCTTGCAGGCCATGTTAGCAGCTCTGAATTTTGTTCAAAATGCAATGGATGGGAGGTCCCTGAAAGTTTGGAACCAGGCTTGGTGTGCAGGGAGCACTTGCCCTGTTACTGAGCATATTATCACCAGGATGCCCTGTCAAATTCAATGTGGCTAAAATCAAAATCAGCTGTCTTTCTTCTGTTCTATGTAGACTAGGAAATTCAATTCTTGTTCCTATTCTTTGTTTGCTCTGTTGCCTTTTTCTTTTGTATTCACTACCAAGCGGATTATTTCACAGAACCCACTCTTTTCTAAACTGACACAATACAGAAGATTAAATAAATACACAGAAATTGCTTAGTATATGCCTAGAATATAAAAAACCTTATTAAAAACTGAGTTGTAAAAGCCAGGCATGGTGGCACACACCTGTAATCTTTAATCCCAGCACTTTTAGTGAGGCAGAAGGATCAGAAATTCAGGGTCATCTTTGTCTGAATAATATTTAAGGCTAGCCTGAGATACAAGATCCTGGGTATGTGTGTGTGTGTGTGTGTGTGTGTGTGTGTGTGTGTGTGTGTGTATTGATAGCTATTACATTTAGGCTAGAAATTGGAGATTAATGAGCAAAAAAAGTATTTTTATTGAAAAAAATTAATTTGGACCACCTCCCCCCACCCCAGGATTTTTTATTCTTTTTTTGAGACAGGCTGGTCTGGAACCATGTCGTACAGGCAGACCAGCCTTGAACTCACAACAGTCCTGTCTTAGCCTCCTGCTTCTGTTAGGTCTAGGGTTGTTTTGGGTTGTTTTGTTTTAGACAGGGTTTCTCTATGTAGCCCTGGCTCTCCTGGAACTTACTCTACAGACCAAGCTCTGCCTGCCTCGTGCTGGGATTACAGGCATGAGCCAGCACCACACAGCTGGGTCTAGGGTTCCTAAGGCATCTCCTCGAGTTATCTGCCTTCTAGCCTTTTCACCTCCTGCCTAACAGACTCAAGCATTTGCTGTTATATAAGTATACCTTCTGGTTTGCCCTCTTATCGCTTTCCTCTTGCTAGAAACCCTCTTTGCATTCATTCTATTCTTGGAGGCCCAGTTGATCAAAACCTTTAAACTCATGTATGCAGCAAGAGCTTGTTTAGTGCCTGCTGTGCACTAAGAACTAGATGCTTAGGATATAAGACGAAGGTCATGCTCTCACAACAGATCTGGCAGTGGTGCAGATAAACAGACTGTGTGCCTCAATTAGGGCATTACATACATACATTACATACCTTTTACTTAAGTACCACCTCAGGGGCTGTGTGTCCTACCCGAAATCCTTATTCTGTAAACAGCACTTTACACTAATATTCCAGATTTTTTTTATATTGGGAACTATTAAATTGCCAAAGGGCAGTAGAAACTATTTAAACAAATAAACAAACTGGGCCTGACTCAGGGAGCAAAAGTGTTTGTGTGTTTGTTGTATAAGCCTGACAACCTGACTTGGATTCCCAGATCCCATAGGAGAGAATAAACTCCCAAATATTGTCCTCTGGTCTCAACATGCACACACAAATCTGAACTCACACATACATAAAGAAAATAATACATACACAGAAAACAAGTGTTTTGTGCCTACTTGTCCAGTACTCCATTGAGAACCACTGAAGGTTAAAGATTACCTTTACTCTCAAATGGTTAAAAAAAAAAAAAAAGAAAAAGAAAAAGAAAGAAATATAGAAAGAAAGAAAGAAAATTCTCCCAATAGGCCTACTTTTCTGATCTGGACAGTGCTACAAACACAGGCCCATGCTGGCCATGCTCAGGCCTCCTAGAGCCTTCATTTAATTGACCCATTCATCATTCAGTAATGAGTTGTTTAATCTTCATGATTTGTGTATTTACTAAAGATTTATTTCCTGTTCATTTAAAGTTTTACTCTATTGTAGTCAGATAGGATACAAAGAGTGACTTCAATCTTTTTAAATTTGTTTTGTGTCCCAAGATATTGTATTACACATTTTCATGTGCTGCTGAGAGGAATACATATTCTTTGGTACTTGAGTAGACCATTCTGTATATGTCTGTTATTGATGTATGATGTCAATTCTGATGTTTCTTTGTTTACTTTTTGTCCAGATAACCTGTCTATTGGAGAAAGTGGAGTGTTGAAATCACCTACTATTAATGAATTGGCATTAACCTGTGTCGTTAAATCCAGTAGTACAATTTTTTTTTAAAGATTTATTTATTATGCATACAACTTTCTGCCTCCATTTATACCCGCACACCAGAGGAGGGCGCCAGATCCCTTTACAGATGGTTTGGAGCCACCATGTGGTTGCTGGGAATTGAACTCAGGACCTCTGGAAGAGCAGACAGTGCTCTTAACCACTGAGCCATCTCTCCAGTCCCAGTAGTACAATTTTTATGAAATTGGGTAAAAACAAAATAAACAAAAAGAACGTAGGGCCGCTGGGCAGTGATGGCGCACACCTTTAATCCTAGCACTTGGGAGGCAGAGGCAGGCGGATCTCTATGGGTTCGAGGCCAGCCTAGTCTAAACATCAAGTTCCAGAACAGCTAGGACTACACAGAGAAACCCTGTCTCGAACCCTTCCCAACCCTCCCAAAATAATGTAGGCCCTTGGAGTTCAGGTGGTGACTATACTGATCCCCTCAGCTTTAGTTCCATAAACATAAACAGGGCAAACCACATGTAGAACCGTGTTATCTGGACAGCGTATTGTGCACTCTAAAAGATGAATACAAACAACAAGAAAGAGAGGGTAAGAGTACCTACTGTGTTATATACTGAGATAGTTTCTTATCTCATTAAGGACTTACATTACCTATGTCACTTGGATTAAGGGAAGTGTTTGGTCCTTGCACCCCTGTATAAGAATACAGACATTTCAGACATTTAAACAAACTTCTGAAAGAGAAGCAAGCAGTTCGAGATAAAGATCTTTTTGAAAAAACAAAATCACGATTTGATAACTGAAAAAAGAAAAATGAGCGTAAGTAAGAGTTCAAAGAATCAGAAAAGAGGCACACTTTCCTCTGAACCAATTTATTGACCACAGCAAGGTTCTATATACAAAGGGACCTGGACCTTGGTGACAAATGCCTATTCCTAGGATGCAGGACTTTGAAGCAGGAAGACCTCATGTTTGAGACCAGCCTGGGCTCCACAGGTCTTTCAATGTTGGGCTGCAATACTGGACTGCAGTAACTGTCCCCAAAGAGCAATATGACAAAAGCCCAATCAAAACTACGATCCTTTCTAACTGGTATCTTGGTAATGGGTTGTCATAAATAAGAAAAGCCCACATCGGACATTCGGTGAATGGCCTAACTTCTGGAACTTTACTAGTTTTTACAAGTTAACACAGGTAGGACTGAACCCCTATGTCGGGCGGCTGGAGAACACGAGATGTCACGAGGCCATTTTGTGCACTGCCACTGTGATGCCATCGTGCTTCTGGATCATAATGTTCCTGAAAAGGAAAATATTCAGCAGATTTAGTACATGGGACTTAGGTGTAAGGTTAAACATGTTTGGTATTGCAAATGAAAAAAAAAAGATACAAAACATACAAAACACCACCATATGCATCTTTCTTCCTATCTAAAAGCAGATATGAAGACTCAGTGTTGGGAATTGTCATCCACAACCCTACTTCCATAATCTCCGCCATGCTTTACCCATCCATAAAGAGGGCTACACTCTCAAACTACGAGACAAATCTCCCTGCACGAAAAATAAGTAAAAATTAAAAAGCATATATGGGAATGAAACAGTTGAGAATTAAAGGGAAGTCTAATTATAACAAGAAAATGAAATTAATCTTTATCCCTACTACTCAACATGGTTCCGATTTTTTTTTCTGGATTTTTGTTGGTATTGTTGGAGTTAGAATCCAGGACCTTAAATCACTAGCCTAGTCTCCTGGTCCAATTTTTAGATTAAAAACATTTTTTTTTAAGATTATGGGTGTGTCTGTTTGTATGTGGCATATATGCATGGGTGCCTGAGATGGCCAGAAGGATGTGTCGGATCCTCTGGAGTCAGAGTTACAAGTGGCTGCGAGCTGCCAAATACGGGTGGTGGAAACGGATGAGGTCCTCTGCATGAGCAGTGTGTGCTCTGAGCCACCTCCCCTAATTTTTATTATTATGTTAATTACTTTTTGGTGTGTGTGCCACGGCTTGCATGTGGAGGTCAGAGAAAATCTTCAGGGAGTTTGTTCTCCTCTGACCCACGTGGGTTCCAGGGAGTGAACTCAGATCAAACTTGTTTACATTCTGCCTCAATGTATGCCCACATGCCAGAGAAGGGCACCAGATCTCAGTACAGATGGTTGTGAGCCACCATTTGGTTGCTGGGAATTGAACTCAGGACCTCTGGAAGAGCAGCCAGTGCTCTTAACCTCTGAGCCATTTCTCCAGCCCTATAGTATGCATTTTTTTTTTTTCGAGACAGGGTTTCTCTGTGGTTTTGGAGCCGGCCCTGGAACTAGCTCTTGTAGACCAGGCTGGTCTCGAACTCACAGAGATTCGCCTGCCTCTGCCTCCCGAGTGCTGGGATTAAAGGCGTGCGCCACCACCGCCCGGCATGATAGTATGCATTTTTAAGGTTAATTTTATCTGTGTCTGTGTGAGTGTGCACAAACAAGTGTATGCAGGTACACACACCTGTGTATGTATGGAGGTGAGAAGAAGGTGCTGGGTGTTCTTTATCACTGTGCAGCTATTCCTTTGACATGGGTCTTATCCCTGCACCTGGGACTCCTTTTCTCTGCTAGACTGGAAGTCAGGAAACTCCAGCAATCTTCCTGTCTCTGCTGCTCTCCCAACTTGGAGGTGAGGTTACAAGTGTTTGTGGGGATGCCCAGCTTGCTACACGGGTGCTAGAATCTAAATCCCAGTCCTCTGGACTATGGACCAAGCACACCGACATCTCTCCAGCTTCTACAGTTTTGTTTTCATGTAGCATTTTTTCTAAAGACCTTTATCTTGGAATATCTTTAACATTTATATTGCTTTTTTTTGTGTTTTTACTCTTTTCTCTTCTTTCTTTTGGCACACTGGCAGTTCTTGACAGTTCTTATGCTCATTTAAATGAAGTCTGTCAGAGCCTCAATGCCCACTGGCCCTGCGGTACACTGATTAAAGAACTGCTGATGGACACAGGGGAATGCCCAATCAAGTTTTTCTGAACAAGAAGAAAGGGATGTGCTGATATGGACTCACCCATTATCTGATTCTAAACAGACCACAGGAATATCAGTGGGGTCAGAGGTTAGCTTAGATGCTTGCTGAGCTAGAACAGATATCACTCCGGCATGCTCATCTGACAGGGTACCACGACCTAAGGACAGAGAAGAAATTGTTACCTAAGTGTCTAGAATATAAACCTATAGTGTACTATCTAAAAAGAAACTCAGCTCATGGCCTTTTAGGTTAGGTACCGACATGAAAATTTTCCCTACCTGGTACTCAGCTGATTATATCAGCGAGGAAGTCCGGCAATTGTTTTTAAACCAGTAAAGTTGTAAATGACATGTAGTTTTTTTCAAAGTTATTCCTACCACCATACGTCTCTATACGCCTTCTCAAGCACAAAAGAAAGCTGTAATTCAAATCAATCTGATGATCATAAATTTATTTTATGGGAATTTTGCTAAAACCAAGATTCAAAGATGACAGTGTGTCAATGTGAATAAGGGACTTGGTGAAGCTAATTAATTCCTTATGGGAAATCTGATTTTCTTTTTCTAAGCTCAATCACAAAGAACAAGTTGTTACTCACAAAGTTCAGCTGTATGATCACCTTGTCAGCATATGTGAAGATCTGTAAGCAATTATTTCTGCCAGTGTAAGCGAGCAGGGCTATTTTCAAACGTCTCAAGGATTCTGTACTATTGCCTAAATCAGATCCTAGGTACAACATATATATATATGTATATATACACACATATATATGCCCAACAGCCCCTGCATATGAAATGCATTCGGTGACGATTGTTTTTACTTAAAGCCCTTTTCTAGACCTCTTGAAAATTACTCAAAACCATTTTAGTGGGGACAGTTGTAGAACCAGGAGGACCATTTCTGCCTTTTAAGAACAATAGAAAGGCATCAATTACCTAGTCTTACCTGGAGATATTCTCTATGTTCAAAAGGTAACAGGAATAAAAGCTAGAAAATAACAGCAAAGCAAAACTCCCAGTGACTCTCAAAGGGAGGCTGGTATGAGACACTTACAGCCCAAATTAAGTCCTTGTGAGTCTGTGCACAGGACTCCAACAATGGATGGATTCTTCATTCTAATTTTAGGAGCACAAGAAAGATGAGTCAGATGATGTGAAGAAATACTTATCGTAGTACAAATAAGTTTTCTATGCATCAAGTATTAAGCACTTCAAATCAGCTTAAAAAACAAAACAAAACAGGATGGGGCTAAAGCTAAATAAAGAAACCATTTTCTCACAACGAACTTTGCCAGGTACCTATGGGCTTCATAGGGCTACAAACACTGCAGTTATCTATAGGGTTTTGTTCTTGGTATAAAAGTATGCTCTGGGATAGCAATGCATTTAAAACAACTGTCAGAATTCTTTAATTACTGGATTCGCTCCTGGGGGGAAGGGGGAATTTAGAAGCTAAAGGGGGAGGTGGCGCCTTTGTAAGCCACTTTACACTTTCCAATTTTAAACTTTAGAGACAGCCGAAAAACTTGACAGATGTCTTTACTTCATAAGCGCTAAGTAATTGATGGGCTACACATGCGAGAAGATATGGGTGTGCATTTGCACTGCAGATTTAGCACATCTGGTACCTCCTTCCCCAAACTTCTGAGGCGCTACTCGGACCCTACGGACGATTTCAAGGCGACTGGTGATTTGGTCCTTTCTCGCTGGGACCCGCAAGACTCTTGCTCCATAAGGAAGCGTACAGAGCCTAGCGAAACTTTAATCTGGAGTCACGCGCGGCCCGGGCGTCCGCAGAAGTCACCCGCTCGCCGTCCCGAGTGCCCCAAACGCTTCCATGGCACTCGCAGTCCGTGTCGCTTGTCCCGCCCCAGTTCCCCCGTCAGAGCGCAGGACCGGCTGCACGCACTACTCACGTGTCCTCCAAATGCTGTTCCAAAGTCGCCTCCATCCCGCCCGCGATCGGCCCCGGTCCTAGACCCCGCAGCAAAACGCTTCCTGCTTCACTGAAAGCCTCGGTCACGTGATTTGAGCGAGGCGGGCGCCCGGACGGCGTCTCCAGAGGGACCAAATTCAGCACAGAGCTGCGTCCGCGTTCTTTACTATAAGACGTAGGTGCTGTGGCACGACCCACGCCGTGACTGGCGTTCGGTCTCCGGTCCCGGGCTCTCAGATTACTCTCCATCCTCAGGGAGATCTTTAGTCGGGCGGTGGCTGTGCGTGACATTAATCCCAGTGCTCGGGAGGAAGAGGCAGGCAGATCTCTGTGAGTACAAAGCCAGCCTGGTCTACAGAGCCGATTCCAGGACAGCAAGAGCTGTTACACAGAGAAACCCTGCCTTGAAGAGCCAAAACAAAACAAAATGAAAGTATATATGATTCCAAGCAAAGTTTACCCCAGTTGTCTGAGAGAGCCTGCTCCTTGCCAGCACTATGCCTGAGGAAACTATCAGGTCTTCCTCCTGCTGTCCTAAGTGGTAAGAAATAAGAAATGTTATTGGGTTGAGACTCCTGAGCTTGGCCTTTCTGTTTTGTTTTGTGGTGCTGGTTTTTTAAACAATATTATTTTTCTCCTGTCTTGTATCTTTAAAAATATGAGGTACATTTTGCACTGTGGCACATTGCAGTTCAGACTGACCACATTTCAAGCAGGCAGTAGCCTTGGGTGAACACAGGCTCCAGTATTGGTGAATATATCTCCAGGATATCTCCGATGATCTCAAAGACAGATAAATATTAAAGGATTTTCAGGAAGGCTACAGATTAGGCTACTTCTTAAGGTCTTAGGTGGGCTTTTCAGCGGAAAGAAGAAAACAGGAAGAGTGGGTATTTGGTATGTGGGAAGTGACAGGAGACAGGCTGTAGTCTCTTTCTCTGTCTTGCATCCCTTTTGTCCTGCACAGGTGGATGCAGTGGGGGGGGGGGGGGCAGGAAAGCTATAGACGTGAGTCTGGGGTTGGGAACTTAGGTGCTGTTTAGAGAGGGATTCTGACTGCAGATTGCTTTCTACTACTCTCTTTAGCATTCAGGGAACTTGATGGCACTGTTATCAGTTTTGAATGCTGGAAGCCATTTCTTTCCGGAATGGTGGGGAAAATCCCAAACACCCATGTCTGAGCACTGGCCTCATTGGGTTGGAGTTTTTCACGTGTTTACTTTGCAGAAGTGGAGAGAATGCCTTCTTCATCTTTGCACACAAGGCTCACAGAGAAGCAGAAGCTGGCTAATCACTTCCTGGGGAGACCCCACCCCACTCCGGGATTCTCTGTGTAACAGCCCTGGCTGTCCTGGAACTCACTCTGTAGACCAGGCTGGTCTCGAACTCACAGAGATCCACCTGCCTCTGCCTCCAGGGTGTGTGTCACCATTGCTGGTGACTTTTTACTTTTAATGTCTGTGTTTGCATACAGAACAGCAGGCTTCCTTGTGGCCTTGTCACAACACTTTTTTTGGTTGATCTTCTTTCCCAAGTTCCTGCCCCCATCTCCCTGCTCTGACCTTCTGTATCATTCCACCCTCAATATTCCAATGCCTCCTCTGTGTCTCACATGTCTATCACCCTCCCTACCATCCTCCCTTCACTCCATTCCCTTCCATCCCCACGCTGTCCTTTATAGACGAGATTCTAGATGGCGTCCTATGGGAAGAGAGCTGGGTATGAAAAACTATTAAGTTCTTCAATTTCTTTGATGTCTCCTCACCCTGCCAAAGAAGCTCTGAGAAATAAAAATCCCTGGAGGGTACAGCAGAGAACTCCAAAGCCCACATATCCAAACTGAGATTAGGAAGGAGGTACCGAATTGGAGCCCCCAGAGGTTACATACTATCTTGGTGCTGTTTCCTCTGCCTTGACCCCTGCAGGTCTTCCTGAGGGACTGACTTAGATACAGTGTTGGTGGGCCATGGGGCCCTCAGGATTTCTGTGAATTTGAGGCCTACCTGGATGACCTAGTAAGTTTAAGACAGCTTGAGCTACATAGAAAGATCCTGCCAGAAAAAAAAAAAGAAGAAAAGGAAGGAAGGAAGAAAAAGAAAGAAAGAAAGATCTTCAATGGTGGGTGTAGCTGTCCTCTGGGAGCAGAAAGGCTCCCAGGGCCACCCACATTGACTTTCCTATCATTGAAGTGCTTAGTCACAGGCCTCCGGTGCAATGAGCAGTAATCAGCCACTAGAGGGCACCAAGGACACAGAAAACTGCACAATGAAGAGCCTAAGAGGAGTGTGTGTGTGTGTGTGTGTGTGTGTGTGTGTGTGTGTGTGTGTGTGTAGTTGTAGTGCAGTGAGGGATGGGAGGAGTCTGTATAAGGCTTCTGAGCTGGGGGCTGGGGGACAGAGTGTCGTGCCACCTAGCAGTGGATACCACCTGAGACTCAATAGCAAGCTCGTCTCCTGAACATGGTATCAATGCCATGGTTTGTGTGTGGGGCTGACAGCTATGTGCTACAGAAACACAAAGCTCAGAAAGCAGTGTAGTGTGTGAGCTGGGTACGGTCTCACGCAGCTGTAGACCCAGAACTCTGGACGCACGGGCCATGTGTTCAAATCTAGTCAGTTCTAGATAGAGTTCCCAGTCAGCTAGGGCTACACAGAAACTTGTCAAAACCGGAACAAAACTCTGGCCAGTTCAGCATCATCCTGCTTGAACCTCCTTTTGACTTGCCTCCAGTATTCCATCCCCGCATGCTGCCAGATGCTGTGCAGACACAGTTAAACTGCTCAGAGCGATGCATTGCTGGTGTTTCTCTCCCCCAAATTCACATGTGTGGATCCTCACCTTCAAGTACCTTAGCATGTGGCCTAGTTTGGAGACAGGGCCTTTATAGAGGGCATTCAAGTTAAAATGAAGACATTAGGGCAGGTCTTACCCTTATGTAATTGGCATCCTTATATAAAGCGATATGTACAGGGGAAAGACATGGGTTCTGCTGTAAGCCAAGGAGAGAAGCCTAGAACATAGATCTTCCTCACAGCCCTCGAAAGGAAGCAACTCTACCAAAGCCTTGATTTAAGGTTTCTGTCCTCCAGATTTGTGGGTAAATCATCTAATTAGTGGTTCATTATTATGGTGTCCCTGGGGAATGAGTACATTTGTGCCTCCAGGAAGTCCACAAGTCAAAGCTATCACAGACACTTGGTGACTTTAACAGAAGGCTTAGTTGTCCCAGAGGCCAAAAGAGAGAGAGAGAGCAGATGAACTTTGCAGCTTGCTCCCACGGTTAGCCTTTGGCTAAGAGAGTTTTCTTCCATCAGATATTGGCCAACAGTGGTGACATAACCTGTTTAACTGTGTTGGGCTTTGAATCTTTTTAAAATTTTTATAGACATATGTGCCATGTGCTTATGTGTGTATAGTTGTGTGCATGTATTTGTGGTGTATGTGTGTTGTGTATGTGTGTGATGTGTGGGTAGGGGTGGTGTGTGTGTTGTGTATATGTTGTGTATGTGTGAGTGTGTGGTGTATGTGTTGTGTATGTGTGAGGTGTGTGTGTGGTGTGTGGGTAGGGGGTGGTGTGTGGTGTCATCCTCAGGAACCTTGTCTGTGTCCTTTCAGACAGCATCTCTTGTTGGTTTGGAGTTTCACCCACTAGGCTAGATTGTCTTGCCAGCGAGTTCCAGGGGTTCTCTTGTCTCTGTCTCTCATTACAAGCTTGTATCACCATGCCCAGAAGTTTTACGTGTTCTTCACGCTTGTAAGGCTTTACCAGTGAGCCATTTCCCCATCCCTTTGAACCATTTTGTATCTGAGCCTCAGCTACAGAAGGCACTCAGTAAATGCGTATTCAGGGAAAACAGGCTGATGGCCACTCTTCTCCAAGCTTCTGCAAGCCACGGAGTGGGCAGGGAGTAGGGTATGGGGCTGTCAGTCAGTGAAGGATAAAGTGGGCACTGTATCCTAAAGCTGAGCCAAGTCCCGATTCTAGAAGATACGGTGAAATATATTTTAGATGAGTCAAGGTGGGCTAAAAGCATTTCAGAACAGGAAGCTATCTTCCCCTTGCTTTATTAATTTTGCTACCAAGGATAAATGAGACACAGACTTCTATAGCCAAGCCTTCATTAGATGCCCAGTTAATGCAACCATGACAAATGGGAATGAAGCCCTTATGAATAAAAAGATGATCAACACCAGCATAAAAAAATTGCAGACCAGAGAGAAGACAGTTTAGAGCAGCTGATAAAATACCCTGGCCTTAATTAGACTGTCTGCTTCACACATCAAATCAGACTTAATGTTAAGATTTATTGGCTTGGATTGGCCAAGTGAAATGAGTTCTGGAAAATAAATTGAAAAGAAAATACCTGTGTTAAATGCATTTTCAGGGCAGGCCTGTGCACTGAGGCTTTTTAGCCAAAAGCGGGCTTATGTCTGCTTTGGCTGTGTGTCACTCCACCCAGTGAATGCCTCATAGTTCCAAGGTGGGCTTCAGAGACTCTCTCTGTGGGGTAGCAAAGGGTACCATTGTCATCTAGTCCTGCTCTTGCCCTAGCAGAATCCGTGATGGACAGAGAAATAGCCCCATGTCTTTATCTTGCCACCTACACTTTCAGCGAGGAATTACTGATTCTTACTGCAGAGAGGAAGATTCTGTAGAGCAGTGGTTCTCAACCAGAGGATCGCAAGCCCTCTGCCAAACCTCTGTTTCCAAAAGTATTTACATTATGATTCATAACAGCAGCAAAATTACAGTTATGTAATAGCAATGAAAATGAGTTTATGGTCGGGGTTCACTACAGCATGAGGTTAAAGGGTCGCAGCCTTAGGGAGGTTGAGCACCACTGCCCTCTGTTCACTTCTGTCCACTCCACCATGGAACAAAGTATGTTTTCTTCCTGACTGCCAAAGTCTACCCTACAGTCCACATTTTTTTTCTCTGTAGCTTTGAAGCCTGTCGTGGAGCTAGCTCTTGTAGACCACGCTGGTCTCGAGCTCACAGAGATCCACCTGCCTCTGCCTTCCAAGTGCTGGGATTAAAGGTGTGCGCCACCACCACCTAGTCTACAGTCCATATTTTGCTTCAAGCACCTCACTATCCTCTTGTGGGTCCTTGGTTAAGTCCTGCAGAACCTTGATAGCTCAGATGAGTTTCCACTCTAAGTGAAGATACGACAGTGCCCCCCTGGTGGTGCCCTAGGATTCCAAAGGAGACTCCATACCCAGTTTCAGGCACTTTACAAATTCAGAATAGACGAAAGCTGTGTTTGTTGTTAGGATCTCAAGAAATCCTAGCAGATGTAAACTGAATCAGGCCAGGTTGCGTGCAGTAAGAGCTGACCCTGGTTTTCAGAACAGGATTGCTAAAATGATGCTTGTAGCCTGGGCAGCGTAGGAAGCGCTAAAGAGCTCAGCCTGAGCGCTTCCTCACAAAACTCCAAACTACACATGAAGAACATACCCTCGCTGAAGGCTTGGAGGTGCCCACGTCTGCCCACAGCAGTGGAAACACTCTGCAGCCAAGACATAACCCACCACATGTCCACTGCTACTGCCCTTGCCAGCAAAGTAGAATGAAACCAGAGCCTCTGAGCTGAGGTCCTGTGTAGGTAAACCTGAGGTTGCAAAGGAGGTAGTGAAGGAGATTTTCCTCCTGTAAATGTTTCGGAAGGGCCCTGGACATTTTACATGGTACTGTAAGTACAATGGTTTCAATGAGAATGGCCCCCATAGGCTCATATTTTAATGGTTAGTCACCAGGGTATGGAACTGTTTGGGAAGGATTAGGAAGTGTCCTTGTTGGAGGAAATGTGTCAGTGGGGGGTGGGCTTCGAGGTTTTAAAAGCTCATGCCAGGTTCATTCTGTATCTGTCTCTCTCTGCTTTTGGACTGTGGATCAGGATGCAGAACTCTCACCCACTGCTCCAGCACCATAGCCCACCCACGACTTGGGGAGCAACTTTATTGGGCAGCACTGCGCAGCTGGCCAAAGGGAGGAGTACTGTGTTCCCTCTCTGCTGGGGGAAGCCTGTTGTACTGGAAGTTCAGCAGGGCTGGTCATTTTGAGTGGCGTGTTCAGCATCATGCTGTGGCCTCACTGTGGATTCAATTACTTTATGGATCTTTGCCCCTAGTTTGCCAAGTACTGTGCTGGGTAACAGGAAAGCAGGCAAGGATCTCTTCCTCAAGGAGCTTGTATTCCTTACAGCAAATATGTCAGAGATGGGCTGGGAGATAGCTCAGTCACTAAAGCGCTTCGCGGGAGGGCCCGAGTTCAGCCCCCAGCACGTACACAAAGCTGGGAGTGGTGGTGCACACTTGTAATTGCAGTGCTGGGGACGCAGAGACAAGCAGGTGCTAGGGCTCAATGCCCAGGCAGCCTAGCCTGCTTGCTAAGCTCCAGATCTTTTGTTGGAAAGCAAAATGCACAGCTTCTGAGGGCAGCTGGCCTCTATGTGTGCGCATGCACATGTGCCCGCACATACATGAACATGCTGCACATATGTGCACACATGTGAGCACACACACGCGTGCACACACACACACGAGAATGAAAACAAATCTCACGCTGAGTGCTGAGTAAGCAACCCTCACAGAGCGGTTCGAATAGCAGGCTCCATGTGTGCTCCTGTCCAAAGTCTGGGTCCCCCGCTCCTGCTTCCAGGTACCAGATTCTAGGTAGAAGGCTGGATGGACAGGCCTCTGTCTCTACACCTTTCAGTGACAGAGCTGTTTCTGGGAGGGAGACGTGAGGATAGGATGGGGAAAGGAAAGAGAAGAGAGATCTTGGCCAAGACCTTTTGGAGTGTTCTGTCTACTCTCCGTGATGGTGAGCCTTCACTGTCAACCTGACAGGAATTAAAGGCGACCTAGGAGACACACCTCTCAGCATACCTGTGAGGGATTGATTTAACTGAGGCAGGAAGGGCCTACCCTGAATGTGGGCAGCACCATTCCTTGAACTAAAGTCTCAGACTGAATAAGAAGGGGAAAAGCCAAACACCAGCATTCGTCTTTCTCTGGCTGAGGATGTAGGTGAGCTGCCACCTCACGCTTCTGCTCTTGTGCTTTCTCTATGGCAGACTGTACCTTCAATCCGTGAGCCTTCAAACTGTGAGCCTTCAAACCGTGAGCCCAAATAAGCCTTTCCTTTCTCTCTGAAGCCACTTTTCTCTGAGATTTTGTCCCAACAAAGAGAAAAATAGCTAGTACGCCCTGTACACCACTTAGACAAACTCCTGACTCACATCAAGAATTCCATGCATCCCTGGTCTTTTCTCTAAGCTTTCAGGAACCAGGAGAAACAGGGAAGCCACCACAAGGGTCAAGAGCAGAGAAGGTGACAAATGTTCTTTCTTTTGTCTTTTTTTTTTTTGAGGTAGGGTCTTAGGTAGCCCTGGTTGACCTGGGTGAACTAGGACTTTTGACAGTCCTGCTTCTGCATCCCAAGTGTTGGGATTACAGAGGGTACCACAGGCCTGGCAAGACAGACATTCTTCCTAAAATATTTAACTGTAAGCAGATACTGCACATTGGTTTCCCAGTTGCCCAGACCTAAAAACTTTATTCATTACACCACTGTTTGGCTGATGGCTCAGGCATATTTCTATCTAGCTCTTACATCTTAAATTAACCTATCTCTATTACTCTATGTATCACCACGAGGTTGTGACCTACCAGTAAGTTTCTAGTGTCTTTCTCCTTCAGCAGCTACATGGTGTTTGCCAGATTCTACCTTCTTTCTCCCAGCATTCAGTTTAGTTTTCCCACCCAGCTTTATTCTGCCCTGCCACAGGCCAAAGCAGCTTCCTTATTGACCAATGGTAATAACACATATTCACAGCATACAGAGGGGAATCCCACACCATATAACTGCTACAGATTTCCACTTTCAGATCTCGGTCTTAGTATCTGTGAGCTTGATGTTCACTCTTGTATTTAGAGACGAGAGCCAGCTTTTGCAAAGCCGACCTGTTTATACCTCTTATCTCATTTTAAGCCCACAGTCATCCCAGGAATGAGCTTCACCTCCTTGCTGTGGATAAAGTGACTGAGGCATGGAAAGGTTAACTGGCTCATCAAGGGCATAGAATGTGAAAGAGTTCGAGACCATGGAACTCCCAGGCTGGGGCCATCTATGCGTCAGGATGTTTATCCCAAGTGAGTCAGCCTCTCTGCACTCTGTCTACTCAGCCAGCTTCCATAGCCCAGGCCAGTGAGTCAGTCCCATCAAGTGGCCACCGACTGCCTTCTCATTTTCCTTCCCAGGTACCCAAGGATTTGAGCAGGTGCCTTCAGACACCACACAGTAAATCAACTGCCACATTAATTCTGGGCCATTGGCATTCTACTTCGGAAGCAGGGAGACTGATGTCTCATTGGTATTCCCATTGCCAGAGGAGAAGGGAGACAAGTATAATCTGTCACGGTGGAGAGGGCTGATTTGAGAACAGTGTAGATCACTTTAAGGAGAGTTTTTCATTCTCTGGACAAGGGAATATGGAATAAATCAATCCTCTCAGGGTTGTGTTATCTCAGTTTGTATACTCACACTGTGAACACAGAACAAAGTCATCCACTGTTGCATTTCTCAGCAAGGCTTCCTTTGTTGAGCACATGCCTGGCTGTTCCAATAGCACAGTGCAGCCTCTTTTATGAGCTGGGGAAAGTCTTGATCAGAGACGTACAGCAAGATCTCTGGCCCTTTCTCCACTTGCTCGTTCCAGCATTATTGCTACTTTTCTCGTTCCTTTCCTTCCATCCTTCCCTTCCTCCCTTCTTTCCAACTCTCTCTCTCTCTCTCTCTCTCTCTCTCTCTCTATTGTCTCAATCTTCTGAGTGCTGGGACTACACCAGCCACCGTGCCTGCCTGACATTGATTTTTTTTAAAATGTATATACACATACAGATAGAAGAAAAACTACTCTGTTGCACTAAAGGAATAACTAATATTTGTTAAGTGTCGATTATTGCCAAGCACTGAACATGCACACACACACGAAGATGCTATTGCACGTGTAGACATCAGAAGACAACCAGAGATCAGTTTACTCCTTCCATCCTGTGGGACTCGGGAACTGATCATAGGTTGTCAGTCTTGGTGGCAAAGGTGTTTATCTGTTGATCCATTTTGCCAGCCCTGATATGGGCCCTTCTTAAATTTTGTTTGTGTCATTGTTTCAGTGAAGCAGGCTCTTCGTAGCTTGTGGTACTCACTCTTGTTCTTCAGGCTAAGGTGCCGTGGGATACGCCTGATGGGTGAGTTATTCCTATTGACTCTCTCACTTTTGTTGTCCTAAGTCACTTTTAATTTTGTCATAGTAAGGCTTCTTACCGGCCATATTCAGAGTTTTGTCTATTTGGGGCCATGATGGACAACACGAGGTGGGATTGAATCCAGCAAGAGAGGCAGTGATGTGCTCAAAAGTGAGGAGGAAACTAGATGCAGGAGGCTGAATAGGCAGGACAGGAGATCTCCCTGCCCCACATGCTATCTTTATAAGCAAACGGAGCACATGCCAAGTTAATAAGAGAAGAAGTGGGTGCAGTATATACGCAAGTTAACAGCACTCCCGTTCATCACCTTCACCAAGCAATAAGTACTGTACAAAACTATAGCTGTTTTTATATGATTGGCAACACAGAAGGCTGTTTTTACCAGCGTCACCACAGGCACGAGCGTGCTATACTTAAATGTTAAGATGACCTGTGCCACTGGGTGATAGGAAAATTTCAGCAGCTAGTTGCCCAAGGTCAGCTGGTAGAGGGTAAAATCAGACGTAGATAGTAGACCGAAAGCCGACCACTCCCCACACACAGGAGCTGCAAACAGTGTGTCTCCTGAAGTTAAGAGCCTTGTGCCTTCTTTCTACCCACGCATTTGTCCTTGACCAGTTCTAGCCAGCCTCAGTCAGATCAAGGAGGAGGTACCCTGTTTTAGCTTCAAGGCTGAGCCGTGGGTGAGGCTCCTGGGTCTGGACAGCTAAAGCTCCTGTAACAGCAGGTAAGCCACAGGCCAAGGGTTTCAGCAGCTTTCAGGGGTTAGTGAGTTGAGCTTCCTCCTGGATGTTCCTGTAATGGTTTTCTAGGGAAAGAGAAGAGACCCATGGGCCATGGGAAACTGATCATCCAACATATCCAGCCACGATGAGTGTCTGACCACAGTGACCTCTGAGAACCTTGGGAGATGCTGTGCCTATGGGATAAAAAGCTCAGAAGACTACAATGTTGTGAATTCAAAAAAAAAAAAAAAAAAAAACTAAGCAATATGCATACCTGAGATTTTATACCAACTGTGGGGAGAAACAGCCTCCAGAGGAGAGAGCCTGGCTGGGGCCAAAGCCCAGTTCACTGCTGGACTGCAGGTCTCCTCGTTTCCTAATGAATGCCACTTTGGATCTGACAGAGATGGCTGCTCTGTCTCATGCTTGTTTGCTGCTTACCCTGTGATTGATGTTGGTAACATTTAGAGTCTGTCAGGAAATATTTCACAGATGCTCTGTGTGGTGGGTAGAAACAGCCAGGAAATGTGACTCCTAGCTGAAGCTGAATGGGAGTCGGAGGGAACTGTGATGGACTGGCCTAGGCCTTCTAAGCTTGTGGGATAGGGCAAGTGTGCCCTGGGAGCTGGGCGAGGGGCTGGCAGCCCCGCAGAGAGGGAGCCGTGGGCTCCTTCCTGGGCTTTCTTGTGCAGTCGGGCTCATCTGTGCTGGCTGTTTAGGAGAGAGAGGACGGAAAATTTGTTTCCTGCTGTTCCCGGCATCTGAAATATGTGTTCCATTTTTCCCTCCAGGAGCCTACGAATTCACAAGGTTGATCTCAGAAGAGACAAGCTTTGTAAATCTCCAAGGAGAAGTGACCCTCGCCCTAACTCCCACAACACTGGACTTGACTGATAAAGCACAGGGTTTGAGAGTTGGTTTTTGTTTTTTAAAGCGTGGTTCTCCTACAAACATAAAAGGACCTGCCAAGGACCGAGGAGCTGATGAAGGCCTCAGTAAGATGGTAAAGATGGTTTGAAGTGCATTTGAGGGAGCCATAAGCATTTAAAAGGAAATTATAGCCATTAATTTCCAGCCCCCAAACAAAACTGGTTGCCCTTGAATATATAATTGATTGTTTTTGACAAGAATACCGAGATGACCAGTGGAAAAGCCAATCTTTTCACCATGCTGTTGGGGAGTTGTCTCCATGTGCAGTGGATCCAGGTGGACCTCTTTGTCAGGTATTAAAACAAACTCAAAATGAATCTAAGATTAACATATGTGCTGAAACTATGACAAAACACCTTAAGATGAAAATTTGATGGCGTTGGATAGCCTGCGCTAATGTGTGAGATCCAATGTGTAAACAGCAAAAGAGAAGATAGGTACGTTGAACCACATCGAAATTAAACACTTTCGTGCACCGCAGGGCACTGTGAACAGGGTGAAAAGGCATCCCAGTAATAGGGGAAAGCATTTGCAAGTCATAAATCTAATACTAGCTTAATGTCCAAAATATGCAAAGAACTCCTGAAATTCAACAACGTACTCAATTTGAAAACTGGACAGAAAACTTGGATAGGCATTTATTCCAAGAAGATGTACAGATAGCCAAAATTATGGACAGATGTTCAATATCAATAGTCATTAGGGAATTGTAAATAAGACCACAATCATCAGAATCATAATGCTATGAGAAAATCAGAAAATAATTGTTAGCAAAGAGGAAGAAAAATTGTTGGTAAAATGGTAAGTCTTCATAGGGAATAATACAATGCTTCCTCAAAAAAAATCTAACATAGGTTCATAAATCATTACTTTATGATTCTGTAATTCCATTTCTGGGCAAATATACAAGGGACTTGAAAGCAGTTTTGCACACATACTTGTGTATATCCATGTACATAGAATACTATTTATACTATATTATAAATAGGTACTATTTATAATAGTATCCTTGCTTGCTTTCTGTTGCTATGATAAGAAACATGACCAAAAGCAACTTGGAGAGGTCAAGGTTTATTTCAGTTTACAGTTTATTGTCCATCATTCATGGAAGGCAGAGCAAGAACTCAAGCCAGGAACCTGGAGGCAGGAACTAAAGCAGAGGCCATGGAGGAGCTCTGTTTGCTGCTTTCCGCCCCACTGGCTTGTTCCTCCGGCTTTCTTATACACCCAGGATCACCTGCCCAGGGCTGGCCTGGCTCCAGTGGGATGGGCTCTCCCGCATCAATCATTAGTTTAAAAAATTGCCATACGGATTTGCCTATTGCTAATCCCATGAAGGCATTTACTTAACCAAGATTTCCTCTTCCAGGATGACCCTAGCTTGTGTCAAGTTGACAAAATGCTAATCAGAACAATAACTGAATAACAATAGGAGCACTCCAGGTGTCTCACAGTGGATGAATGAAAAAAGCAAAATTGAAGCATAACACACAGTGGAATGTATTTTAGCCTTTAAAATGGAAGGGAATTCTCACATTATACGTCACATGGAAGAACATTGGTCTATGTAAGATAAACTAGTAATAGAGAACAAATACCAACTAGTTCCCCTTAATATGAGGTACCTAGAGTACCCAGATTCATAGAGACAGAAGGCCAAAGGGATGGAACGGGAAGCAATTATTCAGTAGATGGCGTCTCAGTTTTGCTAGAAGAAAGCGTTCCACAAGGATTGGTAGCTACCGTTGCGCGACCGTAAATGCACTTTATGCCGCCGACCGGCACACTGAAAAGTAGCTGCAGGGGGAACTTGTGTGTTATGTGCATTTTAGCACAAGTAAACATTTAAAAGGTGAAACAAAACTGAAGCATCAGAAAAGACACGGTCTTTGGTGTTTCTGCTCTATCATGGAGTCACAGGACACTACATTTTCTCTGGACAAGATCTACAAGGTAGCATGCAGCTTCATAAGGAGGAGGCTTTGTGGCCTCATGGGGAGATGCAGTCCCCGAGGTCATTAGGCAGCCCTTGGGTAGGCTTGTGAAACAAATGCCCCAGATGAGGTTGGCTGCACACGCAGTTCTCCCACGGCTCATTTTCAAGGCTTGGATTATTAGCATTATTTTTTAACATCATAGTCATTTATGCTCCATTTTCCCCACTAGTCTCCTGAGGCTGGGAGCTGTGTCTTCTGTTCTCCCTTGTCTCTTCAACTCGTAACAGGTTTGTTAAGTAGAAGACTGAGCAGCAGAGCTGTGAGCCAGGGACTGCAGGCCTGGGCTCCCATTGTTTGCGTGACCTTGACAGGTCCTGTGAGTGCCCGGTGTCCCACTTTGCTCTGCATCAAATGACAAGCTTGCACCAAAGTCCCAAATGCCTGCTAGGCTCTGGGGTCTGAGGTCAGTCTCTGTGCTTCCCCCAAGTTGGTTAGTGCTTATGCTCTGGTTTGGGTCAACCATCAGCACAAACAGGGCATTACTCAATGCAAACACGCAAACCAAGCATGATAAATAGATGAGAGCCTGTCTCAGACCCACGCGACACCAAGAGGCATTTTTTCTAGCTTTTCTAGATACTGCTCTTGGGCTGGCGCAGAGGTGGTGTAGGGGTGAGGGTGCGCATTTCTGTTGCCTTGCTAGCCAAGGAACAGCTGTTTGGCGGTGGCAGGAAGTCTTTTCCCAGAAGCCTGGGGGCCCTGGGTCAGCAGGCCCCAGATGGCACGGAGTGAGCATCCCGTCCGAGTCTGTCCTTGAGAAAGCAAATTGCCATCTTATTACAAATACATGAACCTCTTACTGCTGTTTTCAATTAATTTCTTGACAAATTCTGCCTGTTCCTTTTCTTGTTTTTCTTACGGACAGGAGGAGTCTGGGCGACACAGTTGGGAGCTCCAGGGAGCTCTTATTGAAATTAATTTGAGTGCTTTGGAGCGGGATTTACACGGCAGAGTGGAGCCGGCTGGAACTGCTCCTCTGGCAGGCGCCTCTGGGTCCCTGTGGATATTGCCACCTCTTTTCCTATGCAGTGCGGTGTCCTTACAGGCCTTTGGAGCTATGTGCTGCTGCGTCCCCGCATGCGCCCCTGCTGCCTTGACGGGCTAGCTACTTCACTTGACCATGGGTCTCACTGGTCCACCTACTCACTTCTCTGGGCACAGCTTGAAGCTGCCCCCCCCCGGTTCCCCTCCCCCCTCCACCGCCCCGCTCCACTCAAAAGCACTCACAGGGGCCTCAGAACAAGTCTTCTGTCTGCCTGTGGAGACAACTTCCAGATTCCTGTGCGTCAGCTTACATTAGTCATAGCGACAGAAGGACCTGGTGTCTTTCTGCTGGACTGGCTTTTGTTTTCTGTTCCCCAGGCTGTCCTAATGGTGAAGAAGTGTCACCTAACTCCTGTCACTGGTTCCTTGGGAATGGCTTCATTCCTCTCCAGACCTTCAGTCTCTACAAAGGAAACCAAGAATTTCTTCTCAGCTCTGTCCACCTTTGATTGGCTGCTGAGAACCTCTGCACTGGAAACAGCAGAGCCATAGGTCTGGCCTTTTGTTTTAAGCATGCGGTACTTCAGTGATCTAAGGGAAGATTAAATTAAAGGCCTGGAAGAGTGCAATAATGCGTCTAAGAACGTCAGCTAATAAAGACCCCAAACATGAGACTCAGCGCTCAGCTCGAAATGACTTACGTTCTGTTTTACATTTCATTTCCCCTCCCTTTTATAATTGTTTAAAATAAGATTTAACTGGTTTTAATGTGCTCAAACAGAAAATGGAGACAATCCAAACAACCCAGACCTGGGCGTTTTCACCGCGTTGAAACAGAAGATCACCCTTTTCCTTCCAAGCTGTTTTCCCCTCTGTTCAGACCTGTGCATGCACGCACACACAGGCAAAATGCAGCCACGCGAGGTGTTTCCATGCTTAAAACCATCACCACCAGAGCCACGTCTATGAATGCTCCAAAGCAGGTTCTGCCCAACTTTCTCCTCCTGTATCTAATCGCAGACCTGGTTTCTGGGCTCTGTTGTTATACCTGAGAATTGTGAGGAGAAAAGACCAAATCCACGATTGTCTAATAAAGCAAGCTGTATGTTGGGGTGCACCCAGGACTGGCCTGCAGGCTGTCTCACTCTGTCGGGTTAGAGAGAGCAGCCCCTACTGGTCTCTTGAGGTCCTTTTATAAGAGAGTTAAGGTGTTCGAAGGGGGAGTTGGCTGATCTACATTGCTAGACAAACACAACGAAGGAACTATGCATCATGAGATTGGGGTCCCAGGTTTAGTGTAGGCTGAGAAACCCATTTTGCAGTTTACAACAGGTCTGAGAAATGGGTACTTCTTTCTTTTTTTTTAAATATTTATTTATTTGTTATGTATACAATATTCTTTTTTTTTTTTTTTTCGAGACAGGGTTTTTCTGTGGTTTTGGAGCCTGTCCTGGAACTAGCTCTTGTAGACCAGGCTGGTCTCGAACTCACAGAGATCCACCTGCCTCTGCCTCCCAAGTGCTGGGATTAAAGGCGTGCGCCACCACCGCCCAGCTGTATACAATATTCTGTCTGTGTGTATGCCTGCAGGCCAGAAGAGGGCACCAGATCTCATTATAGATGGTTGTGAGCCACCATGTGGTTGCTGGGAATTGAACTCAGGACCTTTGGAAAAAGCAGGCAATGCTCTTAACCTCTGAGCCATCTCTCCAGCCCGGGTACTTATTCTTAACTGTCTTAACTACAAACCTTTTGCTTTGGTCGCCCATTAACCTGCAAGGTGGTTCCTGTTTTGGCCTCGCAGTGTCCCCAAAGACACTGACATTCTCTCAGTAGTTCTAATTTTCCACGCTCTTTCCAAGTGTATTCAGCATGGATTTGTTATCATGTCCAAGGTTTGTCAGACAGGACAAGAAAAATGGGTCCACACTGCGAGTGCTCTTGCTGGAAGGATACTCCAGCCAGAGTATGCCTTCAAGTCATGTGCACAGTAGATTCAGAACTGGTAAGGTGTGCACATCCCTGTCAGGATGGCTAGCTCCACTCCGGTTCCATTCCTGGAGGGAATCTGCCAGTGACCTCTGAAAAACAATTCTCAAATGTGTGCTTCCGTGGGCACAGTGGGAACCACTGACCTTGACCTGAAGCCACTAGATCTTATCTTTCTCAGCGCTGAAAAGAACCACTTCGAGAGAGTAATTACCAGCCTAGGAAAGGATCAAGACTACCTCAACATTGGGGGAAATCTCTGATCCTACAGGAGTCATGCTGGCTACTGTGTCTAGGTCATATGACCTCTGTCTAAGATGGCTAGAGTGTGGTGATGTTTCTAGAAGGAACTTGTATTCAAAGAGATGGAATCACCAGTCAGCCTTTTAAAAAGTTCTTTTTTTTTTAAATATTTATTTATTTATTATGTATACAATATTCTGTCTGTGTGTATGCGCGCAGGCCAGAAGAGGGCACCAGACCCCATTACAGATGGTTGAGAGCCACCATGTGGTTACTGGGAATTGAACTCAGGACCTTTGGAAGAGCAGGCAATGCTCTTAACCTCTGAGCCATCTCTCCAGCCCA